CACAGCCCTAGCTCAATGAACTGAAGAGGCATTTAAATCACCTGTTAGAGAAAAAATTCATCCGACCGAGCTCGTCACCGTTCGCCGCCCCGATACTGTTCACACCGGAAAAGGACGGAGGGTTTCGCATGTGTATTGACTACCGAGCACTGAACCGAGTAACCATCAAATCGCGACACCCGATTCCCCGCACCGACGAACTGATAGATCAACTGCAAACAGCCCGCGTGTTTCCGAAGATTGACTAATGGGGGGGTTACCATCAGATTAGGGTCGAACCGTCAGACTGCGCCAAGACAGCCTTTAGAACTAGGTACGGGTCGTTTGAGTATACCATCATGCCCTTCGGACTGACCAACGCCCCAGCAACTTTTCAGATGACCATGAACGAGGCGTTTAGACCGCTTTTAGATAAGTGCGTGATAGTTTACCTCGACGACATCCTGGTCTATAGCCGCGACAAGCAGCAGCGCTTAACAAATTTAGAAGCAGTATTTAGGTTTTTAAACGAAAACCGCCTACTGACTAAGGGTTCAAAGTGTGAGTTTTTCACGACCGGTTAGAATTTTTTGGGGCACGTAAATTCGTAGGTTGGAATCGAAATTGACCGAAGAAGTTGGACACAGTAAAAGCGTGGCGTCCCACGACAAATATCACGGAGGTGCAGGGTTTTCAGGGTTTGTTAATTACGTCCGTCAGTTCGTCCTCGACATGGCGTGCTTAACCGCCCCACTGACAGATGTGCTGCAAAAGGGAGTGGCGTTTATGTGGGGGGGGAAAGAGCATGCTGCCTTCTCTGCCCTGAAAACTGTTCTCTGCACACCGCTCGTCCTGCGCATGCCGACCCCCACCGCCCGTTCGAAGTAGATACTGACGCAAGCGACATCGCCATCGGAGCCGTACTGTTACATGACTTCGGCAACGGCCTACAACCCATTGCATACGAGTCATGAAAACTGCATCCGCCTGAGAAGTATCCGATACACGATCGCAAAATGCTTGCGATCGTGCACGCACTCAAAGTTTGGCGCTGTTTCTTGACCGGCGCAGACGTGACAGTACGGACAGACCATAAATCTCTTCAGTACCTTCGTGCACAACCCCACCTCAACCCACGACAGATCCGCTGGCTCGATTTTCTCGAGTCGAATTTTCACTACACGGTCACCTGCAAAAAGGGGGCATCGAACATTGCCCACGCACTGACCCGCCCAACTGCCCAGATACACGCCATACTACTCGCCCAGACCAGCCTGCTACTGACAGGCCTATTTACCCACGGTTATCAAACAGACCCATTCTTCACATGAGGTAATCTGCAGCAGGTTGCAGCAGCAAAGGGGGTTGATTACGTAAAAGCCGGCACCGATCGCATCTGGGTACCGGGCTACACTTTACTAAGGGAGCTGTTACTACAGGAGGCACACGACGGCGTTACCTCAGGTCACTTCGGGGTAGAAAAGACACGGTAGCAGCTGCAGCGGTACTATTACTGGCCCGAAATGTTGACCGACATACAGCAACACGTGGCATCGTGTCCCACCAGCCAACTCATGAAGTCATCACGGAAGCGGCCGGCAGGACAATTGCGGCCGATACCACCCCCAGAGCGTGCTTGGCAGCAAGTGGCGATGGGCTTCGTCACGGGGTTACCGGCCGAAGCAAGTGGGAACGACGCGATCCTGGTCGTCGTCGATCGGTTGACGAAGATGGCGCACTTCGCAACCTGCAAGAAGTCAATCTCAGCCGAATAAACAACTCGGCTCTTCATCGCCACCGTCGTTTGTCTGCACGGGATACCGGCAGCCATTATCAACGACCGAGATAAGAAATTGACCATCAACTTCTGGCGGAACCTGTGGGAGCAGTTCAGCACACGACTACAATTTAGTTCGTCGTACCAACCTGAAATAGATGGACAAACCAAACCATGGAGCAGCTGATTCGAGCCACATGCGATGACCTGACCACATGGGAAGAACAGCTGCCACTTATCGAATTCGCATACAACAATTCGCCATCCGCCACGACCCAACAGTCACCTTTAAACCTGAACTACGGACAGGAACCCACAGTACCCATGACACCGAATCCCGACAACCCAGTACCACGTGCGCAACAGTTCGCCGAAATTTTACAGGCAGCATCGACCCGGACAGCAGACACAATATAAAAATCAAACATCATCGCTAAGCGCAACACCGACCGCCACCGCCGCCCCGTTACTTACCAGCCCAACGATCTCGCTCTGCTCGACACTCAAAACCTCCGCCTGCACATCACCCCAAAACTCCGCCCTCGATATTGCGGGCCATTTCGCATCAACCACATGATCACCCCTGTCACCACCCACCTCCTCCTCCCTACTGACTGGTACGTCAGCCTGTCATTCCACGTCAGCATACTTTGCCCCTACGTGCCTTCCACAAGCCAACTGCCTCGCCACCGCCCAGCCAGCATGACACGACCACCCACCGAGCCCATCATCACACCCGAGAAGATTCTGAGCCACCGAGTTCATGACCCACGTGGAGCTCGCAGGATCGAGTTCTTGATCCGCTGGAAATACCGCACACCGACCGAAGACAACTGGGCACTCCTGGACAAATTTGAAAACCACCCCGTCCTCACCGACTATCTGAGAAGCCGCAATTTCCGGGATGTACACACACTCTCGTAAGGAGGGCCTCCTTAGGGGAGGAGGGGGGGGGGGGGGGGGGGGGGGGGGGGGGGGGGGGGGGGGTAGTGTAAGGAAATTTCCATTTCCTTACGCAGCATCCCTGCTTCGCGCATACATCACTATTCTCGCCACACTTAGCACCGTTACCACTCGCGACACTCGCCTCAACCATTTCCCGCCACCTCGCCCGTCGCAACCCAGCCTCACGGCTCGGCTGGCAACCCGCGCTCCGGGCCTTTGCTTCGACACTTCCCAACCTCAGTCACTGGCCCGTCGCGCGTCACCCACAGTTCGTTACCATTACCACTGTGGCCTTTGCTATTTAGCTTTCGCTCATTCCTTCGCTCACTGTACTGTTTTGCTTCGATAGTGCAATTCTGGCTCGCTCGCTCAATTGCGCCCGTAACAAATAGACTGTTTACGCTGTACAGCCATATAAGTATAACAACAAACCATAAAAGACACTGACGCCCAAGATGCATTGTCTAAAAATTACCCTCTCAAGACCAGGGCCCTAGATATCAGACTTTGTAGTCTTATTCAGAGTCCGTTCAGGCTTTTTTTGTATACCTAGTCTGAAGTCTAAGAATGTTTTTGTGTACCTTGTCTGATTTTCCAGAGTTATTTTTTATGAGTTGTCTGAAATTTCAGCCTAATTTTATTAGTGTAGGCTGGGCCTCAGACTTGTATCGGGGGTGCACTCTGCAACTGGTAATACAGGGGTTTCCGCCAGCCTGAATGAAAGGTTATCGGAAACAAACTTCCTCGAAATTTCCTCTCGATACACCCACCCACGTGTGTTCGGGCCAGCACTACAGTAACGATTTCCTCCGGAGAAAACTGCTTGATTAGGGGCACCAGAATACACTACTTCTTCGACGCTATCACGAGTGTCGAATTTATTGGGGGCTTATAATAACCCTTAAATTGTGAAACTAGATACCCAATGGCACGTGGCCAAAAATATTTTAGCGAATCGCACATGGCGAAAAGCGAATTGGTGAAAACGAAAGCCTTGTCACATATAAGTTTCGTACTTCAGCAGAACCGCACATCATTTCCCCTTGCCAAACCGAGTCAAAATTACGAAGCTACAACTTTAGGAGAAAATATTCCGCGCAGATACGGTATAAACTTTTGAAAACTCTTGCTGCTGCCAGCGCGCCCAGCACAGAAAAGGGCCGAGCGATACCGTGCCTGCTGCCAGGTCAGCTGATTGTGAGCTTGCCACGCTTGGCACTTGCACAAGGCCATTGTCTGATGTTGACACCTCGACCCTGACTGCTCAGTGTTCCTAACTTTTGAAAAAATGACCAATTAGAGTGCCCCATTTCTGGCCGCACAGTTGCGTTGGTATGATGTAATTAGCTTCAATGCTATTATAACTATGCTTTTACGAAACTGCTAAACTTTGAAGGTAACTCTGACAATTCAGACAAAAAAAATTGTGCTTGTCTGAATTTTCAGACTAAACTTTTGAGGCACCTCTGACAGACAGAGTTCCAGGAGGGGTGTACCAGGGTCGTCCCTAGGGTCTGAGGTATGTCTGATGCATCAGATGGGTCCCCCGGGCAAAAAAAAAGTTTTGTCTGATGGTGACTGGCCCATCAGATTTATCCAAAAAAACATGTCTGAATATCAGCCAAACGGACAAAAAAAGTCTGCTAGCGACGACCCTGGGGTGTACACTGATCGATCAGAGTGCCTCAAAACGAATCTAGGGGCCTGCTCAAGACTAATAGCAAAGGTGACGGTAACTGCTGTGACAGGTGGAATTATGTGATAATGTACATTCCACTCTACACCTGAACAGAACATAACGGATTTAGTGCGTGGGTTATATTTAATACGATAACCGGGTTGCTTAAAGCCAGCAGCTAAAATAGTGACCCCCCCCCTTCTAGTTGGGTCCACTTGAAAACAAAAGTTTTTTTGGAATACTTGAGACAGTTGGAAGTGCTGTGCATATTTTTTTTTCACTCCATACGAGTCTCATTGTGAAGAGAGAACATTTGGACCATGTGTACGATTCTGATTGGCAGCGACACTCACACACAACTCACACATACTTGTGTGCGAATTTGGCGCAAGGTTGCAATGCCTGTATTCACTCGAGCAGTCATTCTAACTTCACCAAAACTCACATCAATCAACAACACAGGCAAAGTCCAGCGCACACATATGCAAAAGTTGAGAGCAGAGCTGCGAGAAAAGACGTTTCCTTGGTCTTGGGGCTGAAATAGGTTAAAAATTTGGGTGTCGGAGAACGAGGGGAGAAAATAAGTTGGACAAGGTAATAACCAGCGGATGGGAGGGGAGATCACAAGAGCGACGGGAAGAAAGGGGAGAGATGAGGAACGAGGGGATGGGAGGGAAGAGGAGGCGAACGACGGGATGGGAGAGAGGTAGCGAACGACGGATGGGAGGGGAGAGGAAGAGTTCGACGGGATGGGAGGAGGCGAACGCGGGATGGGAGAGAGGTGGCGAACGACGGATGGGAGGGGAGAGGAAGAGTTCGACGGGATGGGAGGAGGCGAACGCGGGATGGGAGAGAGGTGGCGAACGATGGATGGGAGGGGAGAGGAAGAGTTCGACGGGATGGGAGGAGGAGAACGCGGGATGGGAGAGAGGTGGCGAACGACGGATGGGAGGGGAGAGGAAGAGTTCGACGGGATGGGAGGAGGCGAACGCGGGATGGGAGAGAGGTGGCGAACGACGGACGGGAGGGGAGAGGAAGAGTTTGACGGGATGGGAGGAGGCGAACGTGGGATGGGAGGGGAGAGGAGGAACGTGAGCGCGATGGCGATGGGAGGGAGGAACGTGAGCGCGATGGCGATGGGAGGGAGGAACGTGAGCGCGATGGCGAGGGGGGAGAGAGCGCGAAGGCGAGGGCGGAGAGAGCGCGCAGAAGACGGGATGGGAGGGGAGAGGAGGTGAACGACGGGATGGGAGGGGAGAGGAGGAATTCGACGGGATAGGAGATGAAGTGGGCGACGGAAGAGAGGGGAAATTGCAAGGGCGACGGGATGGAGAGCGCGAAGGCAAGGGGGGAGAGAGCGCGAAGGCGAGGGGAGGGAGAGCGCGAAGGCGACGGGAGGGAGAGCGCGTAGGCGACGGGAGGGAGAGCGCGAAGGCGACGGGAAAAGTGATAGGAGGGGAGAGAGGAAGGGCGCGAGGAGGCTGTTTCAGAGAGAGAGCGTAGGCGACGAGGTGTGTGATGGGAGGGGTTAGAAGAAAGGCGTTGGGAGGAGGCCATTTCGGGGAGAGAGCTATAGCCGACGAGGTGAGCGACAGGAAGGGAGGAGGGAGAGCGAAGGTGACGGGAAGGGAGGGAAGAAAGAGAGGGCGACGGGGGGGGGAGGAGAGAGACCCGCGAAGGTGATGGGAGGGGAGTGGACAGGGACGAAGGACTGGAGGGTAGGGGAGATGGCGAAGGCGCGAGACAGGAAACTAGCCCCTGCGGAAAGGTAACGATAGCCTGCGGAGGAAAAAATATTACGATACTAAGCTACGTAACAGTCTTACGCATCTCCGCAGGGTCGAAAGTTACTTACCTTGGCCACAAACACCTATTGTTGTCAGCTAAAATATGCTAGGAATAAAACTAGTGACTTCAGGATGGAGAGCAGCTAGTCATGGAACCCAGTTCTAGCTTGAAACCAACGTTGGCCTGGCGATGGAAACCATCGCTGGGCAATAGTCGTGCAGGTGTAGCACGTAGACATGCGACGGAGGAGATCCGCATGGAAATGTGTTTTGGCGGGAACAAGAAGCATCAAGATTGGCGAAAGCCAATCACATTTGTTCACAGTGCTACTCGTTTTTTTTGGAACAGTGCTCTATCGAAGAGTATATCTCAGCGGACAAGCGAGTCCGCCCGGGGGAGCTCGCTGCCCGCGGGCAAAAAAAATAAACCCCAGAAGGGCATGCATCCAGTCAGGGAGGCATCAACCCTAAACACGGGGAGGCATGGATTTAGGGTTGATGCCTCCCTCGGATGGCATGCCATCCGATGGGGTTTTTGTATTTTTCTGCCCGGGGCAGCATGTCGTCAAGTCGTCAACAGGTCGTCAAGCTTGACGACCCGTTTTGGCTGAGATTTTCCGGCCCGCTCTCTGCAGCACCAGTTCAAGCTGGGACAGGGTTCACTATTTTGTATTTCGGTTCCTGCCAATTGCGCGTATGAAGTGTAGAGTTGAGGCAACCAATGCATTACAATAGCTTTGCGATGAACAGGCTGTTACCAACATTTATTGTATTTTTAGCTCAGCAAAATAAATAAACAAGATTCGATGTTAACGTCGGAAGGGTTGCGTAGCTGTTACATCTTTAGTTGACAAAAAAAAAAAAGATATACGGTATAGAGCGCCAAGTTCAACTTTTCCCGTATTTAATGAATATGGAAAGCTCGTTAGTTCATAATGATGCAACTTAATACTATTAACGTGGATTTTATGTTCCATAGTTTAAAAATAGGTGAAGATTTAGACACATAGAGTTTTTTAACTTTGTGAACAATGATAATCTCTATGCTCAAAAATGATATTTTGTAACATTGCACTGTGAGGTTCTTGCTAGCAAAAGTGTGGTTCATAGTGAGTTGTTTCTAGCTCACTCGAATGTTTCAGCTAGCTGGATGTGCCACGTGATTATGCGTGTGTTCACGTGGATACTAGTCTGTTTTTGTTTCCAAGTGCCCAAGTTTTGATCAAGTTTTCAGATCGACCCAAGTGTTTCATGCAGGTGTACAAAACTCCTCTAATTTCCCAGCTCCTTCAATTTGGTTACTTTAGTTACTGCCCCACCTCCCTTTCCCAAACCAACCCAACAAACCCACCTCATCATTGCCTCTCCTCCGCGGACCCCCACCCACCTGTTGCCTCTCTCTCTCCCACCCACCCAGCTCATCATCGCCTCTCCCTCCCACCCACCCAGCTCCCCCCCACCCCGCCGTCCACTCTCTTTCCCACCGCGCAACCCCCTCTCCCTCCCACCCGCTGTCGCTTCTCCCTCCCATCCGCCGTCGCCGCTCCCTCCCTCCCGCCGTCGCCGCTCCCTCCTCCCGCCGTCGCCGCTCCTTCCCACCCGACCGTCACCTCCCCCTCCCCTCCCGCCGTCGCCTCCCCGTTCCTCCCGCCGTCGCCTCTCCCTCCTCCCCGCCGTCGCCTCTCCCTCCTATCCGCCGTCGCCGCTCCCTCCTATCCGCCGTCGCCGCTCCCTCCCATCCCACCGTCGCCTCTCCCCCCATCCCACCGTCGCCTCTCCCCCCATCCCGCCGTCGCCTCTCCCTCCCATCCCGCCGTCGCCTCACCCTCCCATTCCGCCGCCGCCTTCGGCGACAGGTCACGAGCAAGCTGGTGCGCGAGTGGGAGCTGGTGCGCGAGCGCGGGTTGGTCTCTGCACCGTGAATTGCAGGTGCGTTTACCCTTCCCGGTCCTTTTTCCCTCCCTTCCCCATACTGGAAGTTCCTATATTTCCGATTTTTCCTTATCTTATTTGTAGTTTCTGTGTGTTGATTGGTCTCTTGCGTTGCACTACCATTTGAAGAGGGGGAAGAGGGAGCGCGAGGGAGCGAGAGTGCAGGAGAGTGCGCGCGTGAGAGCGAAGGAAGCACTAGAGGGAGATAGAGTGGCAGAGCGTGCAAGAGGGAGAGTGGGAGGGAGAGGCGCGAGAGAGAGAGAGAGAGAGCGCCGTGCGCGCTTGCGCCGTCGGTGCGGGCGCCATTGGCGCTTGTGCCTTAGCCGCTTGCGCTTATGGCGCTGCGGCCGTGGGCGCAAGCGCCGTGGGTGCTGGCGCCTAAGGCGCTTGCACATATTGCGTAGACGCCGTGGCCGCTTGCGCCTAAGGCACTTGCGCCATGGGCGCTGGCGCGTAAGTGCTTGCGCTTAGGGCGCTGGCGCCGTGGGCGCTTGCGCCGTTGGCGCGGGCTCGGTGGGTGCTAGCGCCTAACGCGCTTGCGCTTAGGGCGCGAGCGCCGTGGGTGCTGCCCCATGAGGCGCTGGCGCTGTGGGCGATTGCGCCGGGGGCGCTGGTGCAGTGGGGCGCCGTGGGCGCTTGCACTTAGGGTGCTGGCGCCTTGGGCACGGGCGACGTGAGGGCGAGACTTGGATGTGCACGTGCACTTGCGGGTGAGTGCGGTTGTGAAGGCAAGGGCAAGTGCGAGTGCGAACGAGAGAGCAGGTTCGAGCGTAAGCGCGAGTGTGAGTGCGAAAGCAAGTGTGAGAGTGAGTGCCAGGGCGAGTTTGAGGGTGAGTACGAGTGTGAGTGTGTGTGTGAGTGCAAGGGGGAGTGCGAGGGTCCGTTTGAGTGTGTGCTAGGGTGATTACGAGGATGAGTGCAAGAGTTTGTGTGTGTGTTTCTGTGATTGTCGAAGAAGAGTTGAGAGTACATCACATGTGTTTGAGTGAAGAGTGAGTGCAAGAGTGAGTGCGATGGTGAGTTTGATGATGGCTGCGATGTTGAGTGCAAGCGTGAGCGCGGGTGTGAGTGCGAGGGTGTGTGACGGTGTGTGAGGGCAAGTAGAAGAGTGAGTGCGAGTGTGAGTGCGAGGGCGAGTGTGAGCGTGAGCGTGAGTGTGGGTGTGGGTGTGGGTGTGGGTGTGGGCGTGATTTGAGTTCAAGGGTGCCACTGTGCCGGCGACTGTGTGCGTGTGTTAGTGCGAAAGTGTTAGAGTGAGTGCGCGAGTTCGAGGGTGAGTGCAAGGGTGTGTGTTTGTGTTTCTGAGAGTGTGTCTAAGAACGGTTGAAAGTAATTGTGCGTCCGTGAGTGGTTGCGAGAGTGAGTACGATAGTGTGTGAGGGTGAGAGGGCGGTTTTTAGTCCAGGTGCGAAAGCGGGTGTGAGTGCGAGTGTGAGTGCGAGTGTAAGTGCGAGGGTGCGTGCAAGTGCGTGTATGCGGGTGAATATTAGAGGAAGTACGAGGGTGCGTGTTTAGGTGAGTGCGAGGGTGAGAACGAGAGCAAGAGTTAGAGCAAGTGCGAGAGTGAATGTGAGTGTAAATATGATGGTGTAGGGTTTGGGGTGAGTGTGAGCTCGAGTGTGAGGGTAGTTCAAGGGTGAGTGCGAGGATGAGTGGGTGTGCGTGTGAGTGCAAGGCTGAGAGTGAGACTGCATGCAAGTGTGTGTCTTAGGGTGAATGGGAGAGCAAGTGCGAGTGTGAGTGCAAGGGTGCGTGTGAGTGTGCTTGCGTGCGCGTGTAAGTATTTGTGTTAGTATGATTGGGAATGAGAACGATTATGAGTGCGAGGGTAAGTGTTAGAGTGAACGTGTAGGTTTGTATGTGTGCTTCTGTGAGTGTGTCTAAGAAGTTGAGAGTATTTGTGCGTGTGTGAGATTGAGTATAAGAGTGAGTGCGAACGTGAGTGTGAAGTTGAACTTGAGGGTGGCTTCAAGGCATGGCATCATGCTGGTGTCACGAATAATACCAAATTTCCTCTGTGAGCTGTCAAATTCATTGCTCATCTTTTTTTGTGTGCTTATTTCGTCTCTAGTGTGTGAGCTGCATTCTTTGCTTTTGTTTTCTTTTGCAATGCAGTGAGGTGTACTCTTTGTTTTTGCTTTCTTATGCAGTGCGGGTGAGTTGTTTCCTGCTTGGCCTCCGCACATGAGTTGCATTCTCTGTTTACTGCTTTCTTGTACACAATGTGTGAACATCCTCTTTTTTTGCTTTCTTGTGCAGTGCGTATGTTGCATTCTCTGTTTTTACTATGTGCAGGGTGCGTGAGCTGCATCCTTTCGGAGAAGGGAAATGAGGGAGGCAATGGGAGGGAGATGAGGGAGGGAGGGAGGGAGGGAGGGAGGGAGGGAGGGAGGGAGGGAGGTATAGGGGGTGATAGGGGGTGATAATTTTGTTAATAGCTGAATGTCATGATGGTTGTGTGTTGACTATCTGTATGTATCTGTGCTTGTTTGCGTGCATGTCAGTGTGTGCGTGTGTGTCAGTGTGTATGTGTGTGTGTGAGCATGTGTGAGATATGTATGTACAGTCGTGTTGTTTGTATCGTTTGTGTCTGTCTCAAGGCGTGTGCTGAAGTGCCTCGTGTATGCAACTCAGGTTGTGATCGCCGGTGGGGCAATAGCCTTAGCGTGCCAGACCAACCTTTGTTGCATCATCGATGCATTTTAGCATTCTCCCCAAGACACTCATGGTAATTGTTATGTGTTGTCGTTGTTGTACCAGTACGATGTCGCATGTGATCGTTCGTGTTTGTTGTAAAGTGTCATGTTAAAGTGTGTCGGGTCTGCAATTTAGGTGGGGATCGTTGTTGGGGCAGCATTTGCTCGCCTTAGCATACCGGATCCATTGCTATCGTAGCACCGATGCATTTTATCATTTACTTTATGACATTTGCTGTTGTTGAGTGTTGTCGCTATGTTCCATGGATGCAAATACCGTGATTTGCATCCATGTCGAATTTGTTGTCTCGTCAATTTTGTTTGATGTAAAATATGGCAAGGGTACCAATTGTTTCCATTCGCCGTATTTATCGACGATTATGGAAAAATTGGTCTCATTTGGTTTCACTTTTTTTGGAGACTCTTGTGTTTCCGTGCAGTCATCTCCACACATTTGAAGCAATCGTTCACAAAACGTTAAAGCGAGTGCTTCAGGCGTTAGGAAAATGAGAAATTGCACTGTTCATTCGAGTCGACCGAAAAAAGTGCTACCAAATGTAAAGGGGTTGCTACGCAACCCAAAAACGTCAGAATTTAGAAAGCTTGCTTTCTTGTCCTTATAATTTGGCATCGTTCTCATTGCAACTGGCTTATTACAACAT